GGGGGGGGGGGGGGTTGCACTCACCAGTTATCCGCTCCTGGTGACACTAACCCTAGTAACGCCTCTGACACATAAGGGGGATACTAAAATAAGGCTGCGTTCAAGCTGTGTTGGGGAAATAGTGGAACTAGGTGTGTGAAAGCTTTAAATAGAAAGACTGGACAATAACATAAAAAAAAGAACGTTTCGGCTAAGAACCTTCCTCAGCAGACAGGAGAAATAAAGACACAAATAGAAATAGAGAGTAGTTCAACACGTCTTTAAATAATTTTACTGCCGGAAGGTGTGTTTTCAAAAACTAAGATTACAGTAAATAAAAAAATGTATGTATCCTTACTTAGAAAAATAACATTGTAAAGGACACAAATATTTTGGAAATATAAAAAAAAAATACAATAATTAATAAAATATATAAATGGAAATTGAGTATCACTATTAGGAGAGTATTTGATTGATTCCATAAGGTGATCTTGTACCGAAAAGCTGAATTAACTTGTTTTACTCTCTAACGCTCGCTGGTGTGTTAGTACAGGGAATCGATGCCGTGATGGAAACATCTGATGTCCTTTTGTGTTTATCTCTGTTGGAATAGGATCAGCCATGGGAAAGTTTGTCCTGTTCAACATCACGAACATGTTCATTGAATCTATCGGAATCAATTAGATCATCTTCTTTCCGTTTCCAGAAGACAATAAATTTAGGGGAGGTAGAGAATACCCTGTTTGGTGTCGAGCGATTTGGGAAGTCAATTTTATGGATGGGTGGAATGAGCTTAAGAGATCAATACATTGTTGTAGATCATTTGTTTCCAGAGTAGGGATGCCTATGCCGTCATCAATGTATCTCTTATAAAATTCAGGGATACGGCAAATATACGCCTTCTCTATCATATATTCAAAATGACTAGGGCATAACTAGGGCCCATTTTTGTATCCATGGCAACGCCATTAATTTAGTCCAAAAAAAAAAAAAATGGCAATTGGATTAAATCATTTATTCGTTCCTCATTAAATCGATTTTAGAATAAACAATGAAAATGATCTCAATCTGCTTTATCGTCCAGCGTTCTAACTAAAACAAATATGTGTGTACGCCCATGAGTAGACGTAATTCAAACGTTTAATCCTTTGGCATTGCTGCTGTTTTTCTCTTTTTGACGTTCAGAAAGGTTGCCTAGGGATACACACCAAGTCTCGTCAGCTAGTTTTGTACTGACGTTCAGAAAGGTTGCCTAGGGATACACACCAAGCCTCGTCAGCTAGTTTTGTACTGACATTCGCAAAGGTTGCCTAGGGATACACACCAAGTCTCGTCAGCTAGTTTTGTACTGACGTTCAGAAAGGTTGCCTAGGGATACACACCAAGCCTCGTCAGCTAGTTTTGTACTGACATTCACAAAGGTTGCCTAGGGATACACACCAAGTCTCGTCAGCTAGTTTTGTACTGACGTTCAGAAAGGTTGCCTAGGGATACACACCAAGTCTCGTCAGCTAGTTTTGTACTGACATTCACAAAGGTTGTCTAGGGATACACACCAAGTCTCGTCAGCTTTGTGCTGAGTTACAGAACGATGAATGAGTCAATGAGTTTAGTCCCTTATTGTTTCTAGTTAGCCCCCCTTTCAAGCCCGTATTTCTCATATCCCCGCTAACCTGGCGAAGTAAACAGTTCACGGGATGCCCTCAAAGAGATCGACCTGTTGACTGTCTAAGTCGCTGGCGAGACTGCAGTGTTTATAGAGATTGGTCATTGGTCAAGTCAGGGACAGTGGGGGAAGTGACGCACACAGGAGCGCTTGTGAATAAGTTCAGCGCGTTTATGATATGTGTTAATTCAAGGATGGTCAAGATTTTAAAAGCATAAATACAGTATGACATTCTTATGTAGGCGTATTAATGGCATATACATAAAGTCCTACAGCCTATTTGAAGCCATGGCATGATGTTCAAATGATTGCCTAAAGTCGTGGCACGATGTAAAAATGATTGTTTACAGTAATGACATGATTTCCCAAAGTCATAACTTGATATAAAAATATTGCCCGAAGTCATGGCACGATGTACAAATGATAGCACAAAGTTATGACATGATGTACAAATGATTACCTAAAGTTGTGGCACGATGAACAAATGATTGCCCAAAGTTATGACATGATGTGCAAATGTTTGCCCAACCTAGCATAGGATAATCCAGACATTCATTCAGTATTTTGTTAACCGGGAGAGGATCCTGGTACCCCCCTGTCGGCTGTCAAAGTCTACTTATAGAGCGGAACCTAATATGTTTAGGCTTGGAAAGAAAGACAGACCATTTAAAAGAACAAGTGGGGCCAAATGCCTTCTTCAGCAGACGATACAAAACAAGAAAAACAAATTATTTGAAATTGGAAAAAGTAAAAGTGTTCGTACATCGCAAAGTAACGAACTCAGTCTCTATACAGAAACCAGGGCATTCTAAGTTTATGGTAGATCACAATGTAACGTACTCAGTCTCTGTACAGAAATCAGGGCGTTCTAAGTTTATGGTAGATCACAATGTAACGTACTCAGTCTCTGTACAGTAATCAGGGCGTTCTAAGTTTATGGTAGATCACAATGTAACGTACTCAGTCTCTGTACAAAAACCAGGGCGTTCTAAGTTTATGGTAGGTCACAATGTAACGTACTCAGTCTCTGTACAGAAACCAGGGCGTTCTAAGTTTCAGGTAGATCACAATGTAACGTACTCAGTCTCTGTACAGAAACCAGGGCGTTCTAAGTTTATGGTAGATCACAATGTAACGTACTCAGTCTCTGTACAGAAACCAGGGCGTTCTAAGTTTATGGTAGGTCACAATGTAACGTACTCAGTCTCTGTACAGAAACCAGGGCGTCCTAAGTTTATGGTAGATCACAATGTAACGTACTCAGTCTCTGTACAGAAACCAGGGCGTTCTAAGTTTCAGGTAGATCACAATGTAACGTACTCAGTCTCTGTACAGAAACCAGGGCGTTCTAAGTTTATGGTAGATCACAAATCGTTAATGCAAGTTGTGGTCAGTTATAGTAACATTTTTTATACCAACTGTCATCAGCCATAGTGAAAATTTTATCAGTTATATTTATATTTTGATACTGCTGATGTGAACATTTATATCGAATCAGTGGCTCAGCTGGGGTTAGTGTGACCCAGTGGGAAAAGGGGGTTGGGGGTGGGACCGCAATCTCCACCCTTTCCTCCACCACTGAATCGAATATATGCAATTTAACTTTATTTGGAAAAGATTCCAATTTGAGAGATGTTGTTTACTTTCATAAAGGGCGTAAATAAAAATAGTTCTGCTAAATAAAGTTTTTAAAGAATAATCTTTAAATGATACGCAAACAGGATTGTATATACGGATTTTAGGAAACGTAAATCGTAAAAAGATAAAGATATGAACAGACATTTGTTCATGAGTAACTTACTATATGTATCAATTATACTTTCTTCTCCTTTTTTTTTGAATGCAGCTTTAAAAAATTCTAACATAAGATTATTTCGACTTGATTTCTTGGAAGTAGTGAGCTCATCCCACGTAAAACTAAATTTAAATAGGTTTCTAAGTTGTATACTTCTAATATAAAGAAAAGATGACAGTGAGCCAAGCAATCTCAAATAATGTAAATTTAAACCTCCCCAAAAAAAACGAATGAATAATGAGGATTTACATATTACAGGTAATAGTGAGGATTTCTAATATAGTGACCTGAAGTAGCGACACATTTTTGGCTTGATTGAATAGTTAATTTAAATTTCGTTAGTTAAAAAATAAAGTAATAATAGTTGAGGATTAGATTCCGAACTTAATCCGTTTTAGAACCCCGTTCGAGTTCCAAGGCAAAATTTCCCCTTCAAAATAATAGATATTCGATTAATCTATTCCTGGATCCCCCAAACGCTATGGATTCCACAAACTCTTTGGATCCCACAACTCTGTGGATCCCACAAATCTGTCGATCCCACAAACTGTATGGATCCCACAAACGCTATGAATCACATAAACTCTGTGGATCCCACAAACTCTGTAGATCCCACACACTCTACGGATCCCACAAACTCTATGGATCCTACAAACTCTATGGATCCTACAAACTCTATGGATCCCACAAACTTTGTAGATCCCACAAACTATACGAATCCCACAAACTCTATGGA